AGAGAGAGAGAGAGAGAGAGAGAGAGTGTCTTGTAAGGGAAACTTACAAGCATCTGATCTTCCAAATTGTTCTTGCAACTGATCATTAGGCACATCATTTGAGCTATGTAGCATCTCTTCCCAAATGTCAACTACATCTGAAGAAGTTAAAGATCTATTAACACAGAAGATTACTTGACTGCGGGGAAAAAAACAATAATAATAAGTGATGTGCTTTGGAAAAGGATTTTGCTGACCATTTGGTGGCCGGCACGAGTTTTCATTATTCCCCAGCACATTTTCCAGATCATTTGACGCCTCATTCTCGATAAAGATTGTGTCGTATTTTTTCATCTCGTCGTCATTTAAACTCAATTGCTGCTCGATTCTTCTCAACGCCTGACCTAAATCTGGAAGTGACGAGCTACTGACCTCATCAGTTCTCGATTTATTATCGGACAGGTTTATCCTACTATTCACGATGACTTGGCCAGAGGTAATCTCCACAGAGCTTGGACTTGATTCATTGTGATACAATTCGCGAGATTCGTCGATAACAAAAGAAGATTCTGGCTGGTCAGTTGCAAATGAGTAAGGACTGGGACTGAAGGTAGAAGATGAAAGTGTAGAGAACTGAGGTGTTGATCCATTATTCTCCTTCCCCTGTAATGCACGATAATTTTTTATGAAGATTGTTAAATATTTAAGTAGATAAATCCATTACATTATGAAGTCATAAGTCATTGAGTACTCATTAACATATATAATCATAGTGAAAGTTAAGCTTTGCCCATGAACTCAAGAAGACTCACCTTGCTAATATCTCTGTAGTGAACAAGAACAATATGCTCATATGCCCTGTTAGAACAAGAGATACTTTAATACAGGAAAGTAAAAGGCAATTTCATGACTGGAAAAAGGATGCTAATAGGATATAGTTGCATCCATGAGTTACTATTTTGGATTCTTCGGCACTTAAAACTTCAATCTTGAAAAAGATTTATATGGGGCAAATACATCAACATCAACATACCCAGTATATTCCCAACAGGTTGGGGTCTGGGGGGTCAGTTGTACGCAGACCTTACCCTTGTAATTATACAAAAAGGCTGTTCCCATAGCGACCCAAGGTGCGTTGCGTCGTTTGATATATTTTTTTCTAGAAACTTCACTAATAGAAGAAGCACTAGAATTTAATTGAGCCATTTTGATCTAGTCCATTATTAGCACTATGCCAGGAGAATTGTCGACAATGTATATGGGGCAAATACAAACATGAATATATGTGAACACTTACGGATCCAACATCCAATAGCTGCGTCTTTGAAAGTTATTGTCACACTCTCCATGGGCGTAATAACAGTTTATGGCTTCAACATTCCTTACCTAGTAAAAGAAGATTGTCAGGTTAAATTTGAAATACTAGATACACAACCAAATTTATTTTTTAAATTAATCCACTTCAGTTTTTAACCAGTTTGTTTTATACCTGGTGGTAAAAGATAATACTGTTTCAAAACTCCTAGGTCGATAAAAGTTATGCCTTGAAGTCGGTCTAGCAATACAAAAGCCAAACCTTTACTGTTTCATAAATTAGATTTTATATCTCTTGGATAAGTATTATACCATGTATCATTTAACAGAAGGATGCCTTTTAGTTCCAACTGATAATGACAGAAGCATACAAGAAAAGCTAGGTTAATGCCAAATATGAGAATTCACCAACCTTAAGCCGTTCATGAGCTTCAGCAATAGTTCTCTGATCCCTCCTCTTACGCCAACTATGACCATCCTTACGAAAAAATTTTAGCGCGCGTTTGTTGAACAGAAAAAGGGATCCACCTGTAGAAATATGATTTAGTAAGATAGAGTCATGCCTTTTCACTGTCCAAGGGTAAGGGCCCAACAAAATAAAAGGAAAATATTTTATGAATATTACTGGCAGGTTTTTGAGGAATTTTATGTGTGAGCTGGTGCTCCTCAAAATTCTGTATTATGAGATGCACTTCAACTGGCTTTAGCCACCGAGTTTGAGCTTCTCGAACCAGGTAATTGATGTCATATCCTGAAATTCATAAAGATACACACATGGTTAACTTAATCAAGCCAGCTGCTTTCCAGAGGACATAAAATCAAGGAATATTTAAGTTTCTTGCTAATCATAGTAGGATGAAAACTAGCAGTACACATTAAACTATACAAAATTTTACGTTAATCTCATAATTGTTAACAACATGGAATGTATCGAAACTTTTATACAATTCATGCTACTTTGACTTAAATAAACAATGTGATTTTAGAACAATCTTCATTAAGATCTTTATTTGCGTTGGTTCAAGTTAAAGGCTTTAAAAAGAAATCTGCCCATAAATTTCTAAAAACCATAAAAGACACTCAAACCAGCCAACCAGACATCTGTATTTCCTAAATCCAGCTACAAAGATGAAGAAACCTTGTACCTATGAACCAGAAGCAGAACCCCAAACCCCATTCTTGTGCAACACATACATAAAGCACCGGCCTATTACATATTCAGCAAAAGTAGAGTCTTTGAGAACCCGTTCAAACTCAACACATATAACACAATTTTTCAACAATCATAGTTTTAGGCACCTCAACAAGCTAAATTTCAGTAGACTTCGGCAAAAACAGAACTTTTGGACAGTCTTTTACAGGCAACTCCATAAATGACAGGAAAACACAAGGAAACGAGATCTTACACATAGGTTAGATTTAAAACGAAAACAAACAAAACTTGAATTTCGATTACATTTCCGCAAACAAAAAAAAATGGGGGGATGATGAATTCACGTCACCTGATTGCATAGTAGTGTCAGAGAGTATTCAGCGAGAAATCCTTAATAACCGCACGAATTGTAGGGAACCCACTTGAGC